GTTAAGAAAGGATGCTGTACTTTGTCAAATGCTTTTTCTGCATCTACTGAGAGGATCATATGGTTCTTTTTTTTTTTAAAGATATTTTTTATTTATTTATTTGACAGAGAGACAGAGAGCACAAGTAGGCAGAGGGGCAGGCAGAGGAGCAGGCAGAGGGAAAGGGAGAAGCAGGCTCTCCGCCGAGCAGGGAGCCCGATGCGGGGCTTGATCCCAGGACCCTGGGATCATGAGCTGAGCTGAAAGCAGACGCTTAACCAGCTGAGCCACCCAGGAGCCCCAGGATCATATGGTTCTTGTTCTTTCTTTTATTAATGTATTGTATCACATTGATTGATTTGCAGATGTTGAACCAACCTTGCAGCCAGGAATAAATCCTACTTGATCATGGTGAATAATCCTTTTAATATACTGTTGGATCTTATTGGCTAGTATTTTGGTGAGAATTTTTGCATCCATGTTCATCAGGGATATTGGTCTCTAGTTCTTCTTTTTGACGGGGTCTTTGTCTGATTTTGGGATCAAGGTAATGCTGGCCTCTTAAAATGAGTTTGGAAGTTTTCCTTCCATTTCTATTCTTTGAAACAGCTTCAGAAGAATAAGGTATTAATTCTTCTTGAAATGTTTGGTAGAATTCCCCTGGGAAGCCATATGGCCCTGGGCTCTTGTTTGTTGGGAAATTTTTGATTACTGCTTCAATTTCCTTACTGGTTATGGATCTGTTCAGGTTTTCTATTTCTTCCTGGTTCAGTTTTGGTAGTTTATATGTCTCTAGGAATGCATCCATTTCTTCCAGATTATCTACTTTGCTGGCATATAGTTACTCATAATATGTTCTTAAAATTGTTTGTATTTCTTTGGTGTTGATTGTGATCTGTCCTCTTCCGTTCATGATTTTATTTATTTGGGTCCTTTCTCTTTTCTTTTTGATAAGTCTGGCCAGGGGTTTATCAGTCTTATTAATTCTTTCAAGGAACCAGCTCCTAGTTTCATTGATCTGTTCTGTTCTTTTGGTATCTGTTTCATTGATTTCTGCTCTGATCTTTATTATTTCTTTTCTCCTGCTGGGTTTAGGCTTTATTTGCTGTTCTTTCTCCAGCTCCCTTAGGTGTAGGGTTAGGTTGTGTATTTGAGAACTTTCTTGTTTCTTGAGAAAGGCTTGTATTGCTATGTACTTTCCTCTTAGGACTGCCTTTGCGGCATCCCAAAGATTTTGAACAGTTGTGTTTTCATTTTCATTGGTTTCCATGAATTTTTTTAATTCTTCTTTAATTTCCTGGTTGACCCATTCATTCTTTAGTAGGATGCTCTTTAGCCTCCATGTATTTGAGTTCTTTCCAACTTTCCTCTTATGATTGAGTTCTAGTTTCAAAGCACTGTGGTCCAAAAATATGCAGGGAATGATCCCAATCTTTTGGTACAGGTTGAGACCTGATTTGTGACCCAGGATGTGATCTATTCTGGAGAATGTTCCATGGGCACTAGAGAAGAATGTGTATTCTGTTGCTTTGGGATGGAATGTTCTGAATATATCTGTGAAGTCCATTTGGTCCAGTGTGTCATTTAAAGCCTTTATTTCCTGTTGATCTTTTGCTTAGATGATCTGTCCATTTCAGTGAGGGGGGTGTTAAAGTCCCCTACTATTATTGTATTATTGTCAATGTATTTCTTTGATTTTGTTATTAATTGGCTTATATAATTGGCTGCTCCCATGTTAGGGGCATAGATATTTAAAATTGTTAGATCTTCTTGTTGGATAGACCCTTTAAGTATGATGTAGTGTCCTTCCTCATCTCTTATTATAGTCTTTGGTTTAAAATCTAATTTGTCTGATATAAGGATTGCCACCCCAGCTTTCTTTTGGTATCCATTAGCATGGTAAATGGTTTTCCACTCCCTCACTTTAAACCTGGAGGTGTCTTTGGATCTAAAATGAGTCTCTTGCAGACAGCATATCGATGGGTCTTGTTTTTTAATCCAATCTGATAGCCTGTGTCTTTTGATTGGGGCATTTAGCCCATTTACATTCAGGGTAACTATTGAAAGATATGAATTTAGTGCCATTGTATTGCCTTTAAAGTGACTGTTACTGGATATTGTCTCTGTTCCTTTCTGGTCTATGTTACTTTTAGGCTCTTTCTTTGCTTAGAAGACCCCTTTCAATATTTCTTGTAGGGCTGGTTTGATGTTCGCAAATTCTTTTAGTTTTTGTTTGTCCTGGAACCTTTTTATCTCTCCTTCTATTTTCAATGACAGCCTAGCTGGGTATAGTGTTCTTGGCTGCCTATTTTTCTCATTTAGTGCTCTGAATATATCATGCCAGTCCTTTCTGGCCTGCTAGGTCTCTGTGGATAGGTCTGCCAATCTAACGTTTCTACCGTTGTGGGTTACAGACCTCTTGTCCTGAGCTGCTTTCAGGATTTTCTCTTTGTCTCTGAGACTTGTGAGTTTTACTATTAGATGTTGGGGTGTTGACCTATTTTTATTGATTTTGAGGGGGGTTCTCTGTGCCTCCTGGATTTTGATGCCTATTTCCTTCCCCAAATTAGGGAAGTTCTCTGCTATAATTTGCTCCAATATACCTTCTGCCCCTCTCTCTCTTCTTCTTCTGGGATCCCAATTATTCTAATGTTGTTTTGCTTTATGTTATCACTTATCTCTCGAATTCTGCCCCCATGATCCAGTAGTTGTTTATCTCTCTTTTTCTCAGCTTCTTTATTCTCCATCATTTGATCTTCTATATCACTAATTCTCTCTTCTGCCTCATTTATCCTAGCAGTTAGTAATATGTGCTGCCGAAGCGAGCACTATCCTAGCAGTTAGAGCCTCCATTTTTTATTGTAGCTCATTAATAGCCTTTTTTTATTTTGATTTGGTTATATTTTAGTTCTTTTATTTCTCCAGAAAGGGATTCTCTGGTATCTTCTATGCTTTTTTCAAGCCCAGCTAGTATCTTTATAATCGTCATTCTGAACTCTAGTTCCAACATCTTACTAATGTCTGTGTTGATTAGGTTCCTGGCAATCGGTACTGCCTCTTGTTCTTTTTTTTGAGGTGAGTTTTTCCGTCTTGTATTTTGTCCGGAGGAGAATAGATGAATGAGAGAACAAAATGTTAAAAAAATGCTAAAAGGGTAACAAAGGCCCCAGAAAAATATACACTAAACAAATCAGAAGAGACCTGAAACCCGCGGGAAAGGAAAGGGGGGAAAAAATGAATATGATCAGCCTGGTGAAAATAACAGAGCCACACACTAGATTTTGGGTGTATTTTGGTCTGTTAGAAGAAATCGCCTCCCAAAATTTGAAAGAAAGAAAAATATATATGTATATGTATATATACAAAAATAAGGGTAAATATGATCAAGGGATGGAATATGACTGTAAAGATGAAAATTAAAAAAGATTTTTAAAAAGGAATTGATAAGTTGGTTGAAAAAAGAATGAAAAAAATTAAAAAAGAATGTGAACAGGCGGGAGACTAGGACAACGTCATACACTAGATTTAGGGTTTATTTTGGTCTGTTAGAAGAAACCGTATCCCAAAATTTTAAAGAAAGAAAAACTTATATATATTCAAAAAGTAAGGTTAAATACAATGAAGAGATAGAATATGACTGTAAAATGAAAAATTAGAAAAGATGTTAAAAAAGGAATTGATAAGATGTTGGTTGAAAAAGGAAAGAAGAAAAATTCAACTAAAAAAATAGAAAAAGAAAAAAATAAAATTTAAAAAATTAACTTTGAAAGACTAAAGAATCATGGGGGAAAAAGCCATGAATTCTCTGTGCTGTATTCCCCTAGTGCTGGGGTTTTGCCATTCTCATTGATTGGTAAACTTGGTCTTGGCTGGCTGTTCTTGCTAATCATCTGGGGGAGGGGCCTGTTGCAGTGATTCTCAAGTGTCTTTGCCTGAGGCAGAATTGCCCCGCCCTTGCTAGGGGCCAGGCTAAGTAATCTGCTCGGGTTTGCTGTAGCTTTTGTTTCCTGCAAGCTTTCTGTACAGCTTTGGAGGACAAGAATGAAAATGGAGGCCTCCCAATCTCTGGTCCGAGGAGCCTAGAGCTCAGGGCCCCACTCCTCAGTGTGCCCTCAGAGAAAAGCAGCCAGTCACTCCTGTTTCCCTGGTCTCTGGCTGCACTCCGTGCTCACCCGGCCTGTGATTGAGCATTTCTGTCTGGTACCCGACCCCGTGTGGAGTCTCCAAACCCAGCAGATTCCTGCAGTGCGCTGCCGTGCCACTCCTCCCAGGGGAGGAAAAGGAGAGAGTCTCCCCAGATCTGCCACTTGTTGGGTCCCTGCTGGAAGAGCAGTGGCCAGACTGTGCCGCGGATGATGGTTTATGGCCACCCCAAGCTGAGAGCTCACTCCTCGGCTCCGTCTTTGCAGCTGGCTTCCCTGCTCCAATACCTGGGAGCTCTGCCGTACTCAGGCACCCCCGGTCTTTCTGTGACCCCAAGGGTCCCAAGACCACACTGTCCCAGCAAGGGGTCCATCCCCCGCTTAGCCACTGGAGTGACGTCCTTCAGTGAAGCAAACTTCTAAAAGTTCCAATTTTGTGCTCCACTGCTCTATTGCTTGCTGGTAGCGGCTGATGGAGGCTCCCTACCCCTGCGGTCTGTCTTCCCATATATCGCCTCGGATTCACTTCTCCACATTTCCTACCTTCCAGAAAGTGGTCGCTTTTTTGTCCAGAGAGTTGCTGCTATTCTTTTCTTCAATCTCCTGTTGAGTTTGTAGGTACAAATGACAAAATTTTAATATTTTGAATTAGATGAACATTAAAAAGTAAGAAATATATAACTCTGGGCTCCCTCCAACATTATAAAATAATTGTGTTACTTATTGAATGGTTCCTTTTATTGTATATCAATTTTTCTATATCTGATAAATATGTATTTTTTATGTTGTGATTTTACTACAGACTTATGGATCAAAACAATAACATTCTTAATGTTGAATATCATGAATTAATAATAATAATATTGAAATATTTTACAGAATGAACTCCATAAGCTTGAAAAACAAATAGCATCTGTCTCTGCAGAAACTAAAGAAACAGAAAGGCAGATTTATCAGCAAGATGCTGCCATAGAGCATGCCAAACTTCAGTGTGGGAACCTGGAAACTCAAATCAAATCCTTACATACAGAAAATGTCAAGCTTAAATTTGACATAGAAGCAGCCCAAGAAGACTTTGAGGAACACATGATAAGATATAATGAATATTATGCAAAAATAAAAGAGCATAAAGACAGTTTGGGGGAGGTAGAAAGCAAATGGTCATTCATGACTGCACTACGTGAAAAACGAGATCTTGTTAAAAAACTAAAAACAACAAAAGAGGAACTTATGCAAAATCTCCAAAATCCAGAAGGAAATCGCATAAAACAAGTACAGGTTTGAAATACCACTTATCAACTTTTTCTATTACTCCTTTTTTGCAAGTACACTTAGTAATACATTTATCATTAATAAAATGTCCATAGCTGCCTTAACTAGAGTCAGAAACTATTTTCACAACTTTTAAAAACTTAAATACATGAGTTATGTAACAACTACACCAAATGTACAAAGACATAAGGGAGTTGTTCTCAAATCCTCAGTGGATTAATAAAAATAGATGGTCAAACAAAATTGCAGTGAACAAATAATCCATTGTTTCAGAAAGTGTGACTCACAAAAATGTTGAAGCCCTCTCTTCCTAGGCTAATGGATCTGACCAATTCAAATCAATTTTGTATGCTTAATTAGCTATTATACAAACAATAACAATTAATAATTGTACCTTAATAATTTTTCTTTTTTAATACTATTTTTTGAAGACATGGGACCTATAAACTCAATATATCTGTCATTTCTTGCTAGAGAATTTAAAAGTATCCTTTATACTGTTATTGGGCAATTGCCACTATGACTACCGCTTTTCTTATGTCTTATTTACATTTAGTTTTAATTTAAGATTTTTATTTTTATTATTTTTTTAATTTAAATTCAATTTAATTAACATATACTATATTATGAGTTACTGTTGCTGGGCAATGGCCAGTATGACTACCACTTTTTTTTATATCTTACTTGCACTTAGTTTTAATTTTAAGTTTTTAAATCAAAGGTTTATTTGTTTGAATAACAGTTCTTTATTTGTACCTATAAAAATAATATTCTAATCCTGTTTACTGAAATTAAATGTGATGGTTAGTTTTTTTAAATTATAGAAATACTGAAAATGTTGGACTTAATATTGACCATTCATTGTTTGACTTGTATATTTTAAACTTTATAAACATACAGGAAGACATTACAAAGTTAAAGGATAAAATTATAACTATAAAAGAATCTATCACTGAAAAAACTTGTTTTCTTGAAGAAGAAAAAAAGACACATGAAAAATTAAGAAAAGAAATAGAGGTAAGTCTTAATTATCTGATTTCAATGTTTTACGGTATTTCTTAAGCTTATACCATATTTATAATTTACATAGTTTACTCTCAATTTCTAAAACAGCTAGAGAACAAAAAAGAACTATAAAAAGTAAAGTTCAAATCATTAATAGAGATAACTTCCTCATTTAGATACTTAAATATTGAAATGTATTCAAACAAAGCAAGCACTCATTCCTATTAAAATGTGGCCTAGAATTATTATAGGTCTCATTCCACCAACACCTTGGTTCTCAATTAATGTCTAGAAAGCAGAGATTATCAAGTGAAAAAGGATGACCATTACTGGAGAGACATCAGAAACTCTTTAAAATAGAGTAAGAGACAATGGAAGTCATTAGTATTCTAAACCTCTCTGACTTTATATTTTCTATTATTAAAAATAAAAAAAACCTGATATGCAAAACTGAAAGTGAGATTAAATTTGGGGTACCACTAGTAGACTTTTTTTTTTTTTTTAAGATTTTATTTATTTGACAGAGAGAGACACAGTGAGAGAGGGAACGCAAGCTCGGAGAGTGAGAGAGGGAGAAGCAGGCTTCCTGCCGAGCAGGGAGCCCGATGTGGGGCTTGAACCCTGGACCCTGGGATCATGACCTGAGCCAAAGGCAGACGCTTAATGACTGAGCCACCCAGGCGCCCCTGGGGTACCACTAGTAGACTTCTATGGTCATTATTATTTAAATGAATGGAGAACAAAAATGGAAAAGAATCTGTTGTTGAGGGCAAATAATTTTCACCCTTAAGACGTTAATTTGAAAACTAAAAAGATGCATTTACTTGTGACTAATTTGCTTGTGGCTAATTTGCCACAATAAGAAAGCATCTGAGGAATTTGAAGATAAAAATCCTCACCTTTACAAAACATTTATCTAAGAAACATCATTACTTTATCTTACATTTTTCTAGTAATCTGAATAAGTGATTATTTTTTTACCTTCTAGATCAAGATTTATTATAAAATTATAAATAGTAAGACACTATCAGTGGCATTAAAATAGAAATAAAATGATTAATGAAATAGAAATAAGAATACAGATATAATCAATCATAAATGGTACAAACAAAATAGGTTAGCCATATGGAAAAATAAAGCAAATTTAGAAATAAAATTGTATTTCTGTCTTATAACACACACATATAACCATTTCCAGGAAGATTAAAGACAATATAGGAGACAAACTTACCCACTTGTGTCAGAGAAGTATTTCTTTTAAAAGACACACACTCAAACTGCATGATTAAATATTACTTTTGACAATATCATAAATTTCTAGATTATTAATAATAAATGCACCATAACAATAGAGAAGAGAAAACTCATTTTGAGAGAAGGTATTTGTGATTTATATAAGTGACTAAGAGATAAGATGTCAAACCAGTAGAACATTGAGCAAATGATATGAAAAGTCTTATTTTTTGAAACATGAATATCCAAAAAATAATGGGAAAAATTACTAACCTAATTAATAATAACAGACTAATAATTAAAACCACAATGGGGTCCCATATTTAGTCCTTCAGATTATCAATATTATAGTTGGCAATATGTGGAGCACTTGAATTTTAATATACTATTGGTATGAATGTAAATTGGTAAAAAGCATTTTGGAAAGGAATTTGAGATTACCTATTAATTTTTTACTCTAATCTTCTTTATTGAGGTATAATTATAAGAGTAAGTACACAAATTAAAAGGTTTAGCTTGATTAATTTTGACTACAATATATATTTACACCCATGTTACCATTACCTAGATCAAGATGTAAAACTTGCCCATTTATGCTTAGGGAATTCTTTTGTACCCCTTTCCTTAGGCTACCACTATTCTGATTTTTAAAAACAACTTTATTGAGATACAGTTCACCCACTGAAAGTGCATAAGTCAATGATTTTTGGTATATTCACAGATAATTTGTAACCATTACTTCAGTTAATTTTAGAAATTTTCATCACCTCAAAACAGAAATTCCATACCCATTAGCTGTGACCTCTCCATTTGTCTATTGTATTTACCTATATATATATATATAGAGAGAGAGTTTTGATTTTCACTTTTCAAAAAGTAAACAATGTAATTCGGTACATTAACAAAATCAAAGGAGTTAAAAAGAAATAATTTGATAGTTGCAGAAACAGCATTAGACAAATTTTAACACCATTCATATAACAACTCTTAGCAAATTAAGAATAGAATTCTAGGAAATTTTCTCAGCCTAATTAAGGGCATCTATAAAACAACTTACAGCTAACAACATCATATTTACTATAAAATGTTGAATGATTTTCCCCCAAAGATTGGAAACAAGGCAAAGATGTATTATCCTACCTAAAACATATTAGCGGTCCTAATCAGTGCTATAAGGCAAGAGAAAATAAGGCATAAAGATTGTAAAGAAGTAAAATTATATTTACAGACAGCATGATTGCTTATGTAGAAAATCCTAAAGAATCTACAAAAAGACTAATAAACAAGTAAATTTAGTAAGGTCACAGGATAAAAGGCTAAAACAAAAAAATCGTATTTTTTTCTATTCTATTTCCATTCTATATAGATTCCATGAAGTAGCAACAAACAACTGAAAAGTGAAATGAAGAAAATAAAACTCTTCATTGACACTAAAGAACATAAAATATTTGCTAAGAAATTTAATGAAAAAAATTTATAAAACTTCAATAAAAATATTAATGAGAAATTAAAGAACAATAAATGGAATGATATAATATGTTCATGATCTATAAAACTCAATATTTTAGTGTCAACTTTCTCCAAAAATAATCTATAGGTTCAACACCATTCCATAAAAAAATCCCAGTAGATATTTTTTGTAGAAATTTATAAGCTGTTCTAAAATTGATATACAAATGCAAAGGATCTAGCTAGCTAAAACAAACTTGAAAAAGAAGAATAAAGTTGTAATATTGCCCTAACTGATATTAAGATTTATTATGAAGCTACAATTATTAAGAAACTGTAGTATTGGTGAAAGAATAAATAAATGGACCAATGGAACAGAACACAGTTCAAAAATCAATCACACTTTGTTAATTTGACAAAGATATCAAGATAATTCCATGAAGAAAGGAAAACCTTATCATAAATGGTGCTGAAACAACTGGATATCTGTTTGGAAACAATGAACCCCTGTGCCTACTTCACAACATACATAACACTGCATTTGAAGTAGATCAGAGATCTAAATGTAAAAGCTAAAACCGTAAAGCTTCTAGAAGAAACCATAGGAGAATATCTTCATTAAGATTTGGGTTAAACAAAGATTTCTTAAAACACAAAATGCACTAACCATAATGGAAAAAATTGATACATTGGACCTTAAACTTTGAAACCTCATTCTTCAAAAGATACTCTCAAGAAAATGAAAAGATAGAGGTGCCTGGGGTGGCTCAGTTGGTTAAGCATCCGACTCTTGATTTTGGCTCAGGTCGTGATCTCTGGGTTCTGAGATTGAGCCCTACCCCCAACAGGGAGCCTGCTTAAGATTCTCTCTCTGCTGGGGCACCTGGGTGGCTCAGTCATTAGACGTCTGCCTTCGGCTCGGGTCATGATACCAGGGTCCTGGGATCTAGCCCCGCATCGGGCTCCCTGCTCAGCGGGAAGCCTGCTTCTCCCTCTCCCACTCCCCCTGCTTGTGTTCCCTCTCTCACTGTCTCTCTCTCTCTGTCAAAAAATAAAATCTTTATATAAAAAAAAAAAAAGGATTCTCTCTCTACCTCTCCCTCCACGCCCACCCACCACCCCCTCCCCCTGCTTAAAAAAAAAGGAATGAAAAGACAAAATCATAGGAGTAAAAATATTTGCAATACATATAGCTGAGAGAAGACATATCAAAGGCCTATATATAAAGAACTCTTAACAATCCATTTTAAAAATGGGCAAAAGATATAAACAAATTTCACAGAAGACATAGGATGGCCAGTAAGTACGTGAAAAGATGCTCAGCATCTTTAACCACAAGGAAGTGAAAATTAAAACCACAGTATGGTATCATTTCACAACCAATAGAAAGGTTAAAATTACAATGAATGATAATACCAAATGTCAAGGGTGTGGAGCAACTGAAAATCTCTTGCATTTTTGGTGAGATTATAAAATGGTGCAACTGCTTTAGAAAATGGTTTGGCAGTTTATTAAGAAGTTAGCACATACCTATTGTATGTTTCAACAATTCCATTCCTAGGTGTTTACTCAAGAAAAAAGAAAACATATGTCTTAAAATAAAACTTGCATATGAATGTTCATAGAAGCTTTATTCATAATAGCCCCAAAAGAAACACTACAAATGTCCCTCAAAAACAGAATGGATAAACAAATTGAGGAATTTCCGTGTTATGGAATACTATTCAGCGATAAAAAGAATGAAATACTGACACACACAACATGGGTGTATACATTTGTCAAAAGTCATTTAACCATAGCCTTAAAAATCTATGTATTTATACTTCCATAAATATATTTAACCATAATTTTAGATTAAACAACCAGAAGAGAAGTTACAGGACATGTTCAAATGGCAACCAGTGAGCTCCAAGTCTTTTAAGTGCAGCATTTTCTCCATGGTAAAACAGTGACATTTTATGAGTCTTTGTTACATTCTGAACAATACAGAATTTAGTAATATATTTTATATAACATTCTTCTCAAAGTAGGGTAGCAGTAATTTGGTTTCCAAAAGTGGTCTCATTTTATTCATATATTTATTCAGTAATTTATTCAACTTATTTATTGAGCTCATACTATGTGCTAGTTACTCTTTTAGGCTGACAATGGAGTGGTGAATAAAATAGCACATGACTCCTTCACTTTTCTGTGTGCTACATTCTTCATAAAACCCTTTCTAATATATGTCTTCATGAACTTGCCTTCTAGTTGGAGAGACAGACCTAAACAAGATGTGTAAGACATACAGCATGTTAGCTAAGGATAGGTTTAAGAACAAAAAAAAAATGGAGCAGAGAAGGGAATATGTAATACATGTATTGCAGGGAGAGAGAAGGTGAAATATTAGATCTTACAGCCATCAAAATCTTTACTGAGTAGGTCTCTTTCAGCAAAATCCTAAAAGAAGTGAAGGAGCAAGGCATGCAGATCTGAGGAAGAGCTTTCCAGGAAAAAGAAAAAGCAAGTGTAAAGGTCTTAAGATGAGAATATACGTTGGCTTAGAGAATAGAAGAACACTGTGGCTAGAATGGAGGGAACAAAAAAAAAGTAGTGAATGAGGTGAGATTTGGCTTATACAGGGCTTTGCTTTCTTTTTGCCACTGTGTTTTGTGGGCACCACCCCTCCTTCACTATTGCTCTTAGCTCTGCCTAGCCAGCAACAGTATTTAATGAGAGTAGTAGCCCATCCACTTCCTAGAGGCAAAAAGTTATGTTCTATACAGAACCATTTACATCCTTAGTGCCTACAGATGTTCAAGTTTGAATATTAAGACACATATCAAAGTCTGAATGTTACCAGTAGAGGCTGAACAAATGCCTGTCTTTCAAGAAGGCTCACAATGTGACCTTTGCCTTTATAAATTCACTTCTTGTCTCTCCCTCTTTTTTTTTTCCTTTGCTCATTTGTTGGTTGTGGTGATGGTGGTGATGGTGGGGTGTGTGTGTGTGTGTGTGTGTGATGTCTTAATTGGTTGTGTTTGTTTGGGTTTTTTTGTTTGTTTAGTTTCAAGTTTTTATTAAATTCCATTAGTTACCAGAGGGGAGGTGGGTGGGTGGACAGGTGAAATAGGTGATGGGGATTAAGGACTGCACCTGTGATGATGAGCACTGGGTGATATATGGAATTGTTGAATCACTATATTATACACGTGAAACTAATATAACACTATATGTTAACTGGAATTCAAATAAAATAAGATAAATGAAATATTGGCATGTGAAAAAAAATAAAGTCACTTTTTGGTCAAAACTGCCTTTTAGCCTTGTGAACTTAGAAACTTAATCTTGTTAGTGTCCCAGCGTTCAGTAGACATGGAGAGATGCTAGAAGAGTTCACAAGAAACTGATGTATAAAACTCAAATACCAGTTTATTAATTTATAATAATAAAACTCTCAAGGAAACCAGATAACTTATGTCAGTCATTAGTGCTCCTTCTTCCTTATAAGGAAACTACAGTGGAAACCAAATTATCACAAGGTTTTAGTTAGTGAGCATGGAAATCAAGTCAGTCATCTGAGTTTGACTGTTCTTGGCCTCTGGCTCTGGGTGCTCAAGCCAATCTCCATAACAGAGTTATACTTGTGTCAGATAAATAGACCTTACCAGTGCATGACTCCTTCACTTTCCTATGTATGTACTACATTCTTCACAAAACCTCTTCTGAAGATATTCTTTCTTTAGATACATTCTTTCTTTAGATACATTAGTATCTTCTGTGACATCTAGCTCTGACTGGTGATCTGGGGTCCCCCTAAGGGGACTTTGCACATCTCTACTCTGATCCATTGTGTATTAGTTTCATAGCTTAACTATTGAAGAATAATTTTAGAGATATGCTACTGTGCAATTGACCAAATGTATTGATTAACCAAAAATTTGTTTTAGTTATTTTATTTCTATGAATATATTCTATGAACAGGAGTATGGGCATATTTAGTTATTATACTCTCCCTATGAATATATTCTATTGAATATACCAGTGAATATATATTATATATAAATATATATAGTGAATATATATTTTTAAATAGAAATATATTCAATGTTTAAAAAATCTTTTGAATATAGCTTCGTATCTAATATGTTTCAATTTAAACTAATTTTAATGCTTTTCAAGTCATTTTTTTATTTTGCCAACATACCAGTAGGCCTGGTTCACCAATTTCAATGAATTATCTGAATTTACAGAATTAAGAAAAACTGGAGACTTAAAAAGACAAAGTTTATAGAAATTTATGTGAATTTTTAGTTGACAAGTTTTCACTTCATTTTTACAGCAGTACTTTAGAATACTTAGAGTGTCTTGGTCCCTGTTTCTCTGCTACTGCTGCAGAGTTGTGTTTCAATATAATTGATTTCCTTTGTAATCGTGCATGTTTTATTTGATGCATTAAAAACATTATTCTAAGGAGTCCATAGTCTTCACCATACTGTCGAAAGAACCCATGGCATAATAAAGGTAAAGAAGTCATGCTGAGGGAGGAGCTTGGAAACAGGGAGTACCTTTTGCTGGGGGAAGAGCAGAGAGGAGATTCAAGATGTGGAGAAATTTGAACCCTCATACAGGAATCATGGGGATGTAAAAATGGTGCCGTCACTATGGAAAATAATCTGGCAATTCCTCAAGTGGTTGAACATAGAATTACCATATGATCTTAGTTCTACTCCTAGGTATAGACCCTAGAGAAGTGAAAATAAAAATCCACACAAAAACTTGCACATGAATGTTCATAACAGCATTGTTCATAATAGCCAAAAACTGGAAACAAATGTCCATTATCTGATGAATTGGGTAAATAAAATTTGGTATTATTCTACAATGGAATATTATTTGGCAATAAAAAGTAATGAAGTACTTACTAATACATGCCACAACATGGTAAACCCTTAAAAGGATTATGCTAAGTCGAAGAAGCCAATCAGAAAAGACCATGTACTGTATGATTACATTTATAAGAAATATCCAGAATAGGCAAATCTATATAAAGAGAAAGATTAGTAATTGTCTAGTGCTGAGAGGGGGGGTGTGGGAATGGGAAGTCACTGCTAACGGGTACTATCTTTCTTTTTGAGGTAATGAAAATGTTCTAAAAATTGATTGTGGTAGCAGTTGCACAACTCTGAATGTACTAAAACCCATTGAATTGTCCACTTTAAAGGATGGATTGTATGATATGTGAATTATATCTCAATAAAGCTGTCTTAAAAGAGAAGATTGGGTATTTTTTGTATAGCTAACACTAATATTAGGAATTTTTTCCTTTCTACTTTCTCATGGCCTGACACCAAAAGCCTTGCACTTTCCACTGTGCTTCATTGCCTTCCAGTGTAGTAGCACTGTCTGGCTCAGCATAAATATACTGCTCGACTTATTATTATGACTATATGATCTTTTGGATCTTTGAGATGGATGGGTCTATGTTTCAATGAACCACTGGATATAGGGAATGAAACCATTTCTCCTAACTGGTAACTGTTTTGGTAACTCGAAGGCACTCCATCACAGATGCTTTGCTTGAATTCAGATCTCAAACACCATCACTTGCTAGCTATGAAGCCTTGGTTGAATTACTTAAACTCTTAGATCTTCAGATTTTTTTGTACAAAAATGGAGATAATAATATCTATCCACATCATATGGTATAAGAATTTAATTATATCTAAAAAACTCTCAGTATAGTATCTAACATGTAATAAGTGTTGAATAGTTATTATTACTGTTTATTTTTATTACCATTATTATTTACAGTGAGTAATTTCTAATCAAGTGTTTTCTTTAGAGTAGTCAAAATATCCTTTATGGCTATTTACTACTTACCTTTCTCAAGCCCTGTTGACATGTACTCTTCTTTTAATAGGTGCAACATAAGAGATATGGTGCAATTCTTAAGCGTTTGCATTGTCAGGTGAACAAGCTTCAGTCAAATAAAAGACAATGGCAATGGAACATTCACCAACTGGAAAAAACTGCAGCTGAACTAAGAAAACGCATTGGAATGAAAGATTAACATGGCCAAAGGGCAATGTAGAACACAGACTATGCCAACAAAAATGATAGGACAAAAGGTTCAGAAAATTCTTTGGGTTCTTAACCGGCATCCACTAACAGAGGTCTGTTTTAATAACAGATACATTTTCTCTTTTTTTTTTTTAATCGGTTAATCTGTCTGCTAATGTGCCTTCCAGGCCTGCAATTGATAGCAGTAGATAGACAATAGGAATGCTTACAGAAGACTAGTGGAAGATTCTGTATAAATATTTCGAGTATGTAAGATATAATTCTATTTATGAATGCCTATTTATAAACATGTTGCCTTCACTATCATATGAAGTAAAAATGTAGAAGAAAAGAAACACAAAGTTACAATGATTTAAATTGTTAAGATATTTTAAATGATTCTGTTTCAAACTTTTTATTAAAACTTGCTTTTTTACCACTGTCTTCACAGTAGTCCATAAATAATGACATTTACAATAATGTTGTATGTTCAATGCTTCAGGTATTTTACTTTTTATCTTATTCAGAAGGTAACAATCATTTTTTCTTTGTTATTAGATAACACAGTTTTAGAGTGTTGCAAGGCACAACATTTTTTGTTTGCTTTTTCTCTTTAAATTCTTTAGTACTATTCTGTGAAAAATTTGAAGTTATAACATCATTATAAGGTAAATACCGGCTCTTAAAAAAAAAAAAAGAATGTTAATGAGTGTAGACTACCGTGTATTTTTTTCTCACTGAAAGTTATATGCTATTTCCATGACAACATTTCAGAATTTAACTTGTGCATATTAAGATAAAAGTGCTCCTTCTCATGGCTCCACTGAATCAAATTTTTAGGAACAGAAAAAATATTATTGAAGATAATGGTTTTTAAATATTTACTTTTAGGATTTAATGCTTTCAAAGCAACAACATCAAAAAGGTATCTCAAGTTCATTTTCTCCTCACCTTTCTTCATGCCTAAGACTAAGTAAGAGGATAGCTGATATAAAACGTGATATTAATAATCTTGTTATGTCTAACATTAATAATTCTATTATGAATTAACATGGCTTATTATAGCTAACACTTCAAATGGCTTTGCTGTAACACAATCAACTTTGGCACATGACTCAGAAATGCAGTTACAAATAAAAATGGTTAAACCTACAGATTGTAGAGAGTACCCACTATGCTCAGCTGAAAACGAGGCTGAAACCTTTTAAGGCTGATTGTATAAAAATATTTCAATTTAATTCACATATTTAAAAGGCTATTTTTATAACTATACTTCATAATTTTATTTACAGTTTATAAAAGAAAAATTCTAGTTTTCTAAACTCTTTTTAAGTTTATAATAGGTTTCAAAATATTTGTACCTGATAGCTAACTCCTTGAGTTATACTTGTGAAAGTTATTTTTCAATTAAGATATAACAAAAATAGGTTTAATCTGTTTAAGATAATGTGCCTATTTGAGAAAGTACTTTTCAGTGTAGTGTTCTGAAATACTCATGATAATAATACATGTACCTATTTAAAATTTTGTGACAGAGGAGAGTATTATTTGAACAAGAACATTTTTCCTTTCCTTGCTCTTTATAATCTTGAAAATCATTTCAGATGATGGACGCTCTCAGATTAGCCAAGAAGAACTAAAGCTTGGGGTATCGTCAAGCCTGATCATATAGTTAGTGGATGTGATATCTCAACATGGTCACAAACTCTAAAGTTAGAAAACGAATTAATTTTAAAAATTTCTCCAGAACTTAACCTAGCTTAGAATATGAGCTCTTCTGCTTAATGGCCTTTGTCACATACACTTTTGTCTTAAAATTCAGTCTCTTTTGGGTTATCATTCAGTTCAGAATTCTGCTTCTCATTTTCTTCCTGGAAGTAACCTAAATTCCTGGGGCAGGGATTGGAGGGTACACTCATGTTGTTTTGTCATCAGGGGAAGGGTCCTGGTGCAAGTGCCATTCTCACTGGCCTCTGCAGAGGTGTAATCCGTCTTCTTGGTCTTGAGCATTACCTTTTGTCTACGCTGTACCTGCAGTTGTTTTCTCTAGTCAATGGGGTCAGCCTCCTTACCCAATCACAAAGCCTCTTCTGGTCATATTTAATTCTCTTTTTCTTTATGCAGGCCAAATTTTACCTCTTTGGGGCCTGTTATTCTACCCATGCATTCTTCCTTACTCAGATATCTGGTATAAAATGAGTCGTTCAAATATCTCAGTGCTTTGGGGCTCAGCAAATTCTTCTCTCAAAATGGCCCTTTTCTGCAAAGTAAAGCTATGATTTCAACAATATTGTTTCTACTGCGAATTTTTAAAAAGCTTAATGTGAAGCTCAAAACTGATAAGTGACTTCTTAATTCTGAGTAGTGTCTGTCATGACTCCAGCCTGCTAGGTTCTATTACCTAAATGATCAGGAAAAGGTAACTAATGCAAGGAAGCAGTAGGAGGGAAAAAACCTATAGTTAACTATCAAAATATTACTTACTACATGTGCAATCTATGGGCAAATTATAATTGACCAATGTGAAGAAATTGATATCTGCTTTTAAGCCATATCTTAATAGCGGTGATTTCCATTGTCAAAACAGCCATCATGGACACTGTCACGGCCAATATAAATGATCTATATGTTATCTGTTAGGCTATGTTCTTCCACTCAATTGATTAACCATGCTATTTTCCAAAACACTGCAGATGTGAAATAGCAACACTAATAACAGACTGAGTAACTACGCTGTGTCCTATTTGGCAATTTGTACACATTAGTTCATTTACAGAATAATGAGAATAATGGCTTAAAGTGTATATTATCCTTGATTTACTGATGGGGAAACTGAGGCTTAGTAAGTTGCTTAAGATCTTATCACACAAGTCATCAGGATCCGAGTTGAAATTCATTGCCCTATTTTTTTAGCTACATAAAATACCCTGTAAGAAATGATTCCAAGGCAAGCCTCGATTTTACTATGAATAAATAATAATTTATTTGTATATTTAATCAATTCTTTTAATAGATTACAAGGCATAAGATGAATTTAACTAAAGAGAGAAATCTTATGATTAAAAAACAGGTTCCAGGGGTGCCTGGGTGATTCAGTCAGGTAAGCATCTGACTCTTGATCTCAGGGTCGTAGGATCGAGCCCTGTGTGGGGCTGTGTACTAAGTGTAGAGTGTGCTTGGGCTTCTCTCTCTCTCTCCCTCTCCCACTACTCCTCCCATTTCTCTCTCTCAAAAAATCTTTAAAAAAGGGGGGTTCCACATATAAGTCACAACACCATCCTAACAAGTGAGATAGGCTGAAAAATTAATAACTCCTCTTGGATCCCTAAGAGAGGTAAGGACAGAGGAAAAACCACTGTCTCTGAAGTTGGAGAGATGGGTAGGCAAATACAGGAAGTCACAGTGACCAGAGCAGAGGCTCATAAACCACCACGGGAAACAGTGTTAGGATAGCAAAACCTAACTGTAACTGATAAAATTTCTGGAGTCTTGGTGTAGACAACTCTTAAGAGTTAAAAACTCCAGGGGAACCCAGTCAGAGGGAGGTCCCCACAATATTGTGAGATTTACCTCCAGATAAGAATTACATCTGACTTCTCAGGAACCATGCAAGCAAGCAGAGAATGATGTGAAATATTTAAAGTGTTGGAGGGTGGAAAAGCCCACCAACCTAGAATTCTGTACCCTGTGAAATTATCCTTCAGAAGTGAAGGAGCAGGAAATATTTTCTCAGACAAATTGAGGGAATATGTTGCCAGTAGACCTGCCTCACAGGAAATGTTAAAGAAGTTATTTAGAGAAAACAAAAATAATATAGGTCAGAAATTTAAATCTACATTTAAGGAAAAGCATCAAAGAAGGAATAAGTGAAGGTAAAACAAAAACTTTTATTATTCTTAATCTAACAGATAACAATTTGTTCAAAATCGGGCGCCTGAGTGGCTCAGTTGGTTGGGTGTCTGCCTTCGCCTCCGGTCGTGATGGGATCGAGTCCCACATCAGGCTTCCTACTCCGCAGGGAGCCTGCTTCTCCCTCTGCCTCTCTCTGTCTCTTATGAATAAATAATTAAATAAATCTTTAAAAAAAACAATTTGTTCAAAATACTAATATTAGGAACAATGTATTCATATATATGCTTATGTATATACAAATATTAATGCTTCTATATTTGAAATGAATGACAGCAATTACACAAGGTATGGGAGGAAAGAATGAAAATTATTTTGTTATTATAAGATTCTTATTCTACCATTGAAATCATACAGTGTTATTTGAAAGTGGACTTGGATTGGTTGTAAATGTATATTACAAACTCAAGAGCAACCACTAAAAAAAAGTTTAAAAAGAAGTATAACTGATATTCTCCAAAAAGAGAAAATGTAATCACATAAAATTCTTTTTTTTTTTTTAAAGATTTTATTTATTTGAGAGAGAGAGAATGAGAGATAAGAGAGCACGAGAGGGAAGAGGGTCAGAGGGAGAAGCAGACTCCCCGCCGAACGGGGAACCCGATGCGGGACTCGATCCGGGGACTCCAGGATCATGACCTGAGCCGAAGGCAGTCGCTCAACCAACTGAGCCACCCAGGCGCCCAATCACATAAAATTCTTGATTAAAACCACAAAAGGCAGAAAAAGAATGAGAGGCAAAAATTAACCAAAACCAAGGGCAATAAACAGAAAATATTAGCAAATATGCTAGGTATTAATCCAACTATATCAATTATCACTATGAATGTCAATGATGTAAATGCACTAATCAAAGACAGAGATTATCAGAGTGGATCAAAAAAACAAGTTATATGGTGCCTATATGAAACCACTATTTTTTAAATATTTATTTATTTATGTATGTATGTATTTATTTATTTATTTGTTTAAGAGAGACAGGAGGGACGACAGAAGGAGAGGGAGAAGCAGACTCCCTGCTGACCAGGGAGCCCAATGCAGGCCTCGATCCCAGGACCCTGGAATCATGGCCCGAGCAGAAGGCAGACACTTAACTGACTGAGGCACCCAGGTGCCCTGAAACCACTTTAAATATAAAGACACATACAGATGAAAAGTAAATGGATAGAGAAATATACCATGCTGACATTAATAATAAAAAAAACAGAGTAGCTGTATTAATTTCATAACTGAGCAGACTTTAAGGAAAGTTATCACAGATAAAGAAGGACATTACATGGTATTAAAGGGGTCAATTCTCCAAAAAGACATAACAATCCTTAATGTGGATGCATCTAATAACAGAGCACCAAACTATATGAAGCAAAACCTGATAGAACTGCCAAGGAGAAATAGATAACTCCACTATCATAGTTGCAGACTTCAATATCACTGTATCAGAAATGGACAGATTCATCAGACAGAAATTCAGTAAGGACCCAGATTAATGCAACAACACTATCAATCAA